GGGAACACCCAGACACAAACCATAACAAGGTGCCAGTGTACACGAGAGCTTTTCGCCGGTGAACTAAATTGGAGTCACTGCAGCGCTACAAAGTAGGTCCCATTATTATTAATCCACTAACAAATGAAAACTCAAAACCTCAGGTTCAACTTGCCCAAAGTCACACAACTTGTAAGTGTAGAAGCTGGAGTGTGAACCACTCCTGTCCTCATAACTGCTATTCTGTTAGGTCTCTCCTGCTCCCTCTTTCTCTACCCAGCATGAAGATCAGTGCTCTGCTCTTGGGGTGGAAAGCAAGCCCAAGGCCTTGGTCCACTCCCCTTCCGCCCAAGAACCGGAAACTGAAGGGTTGGGGCGGGGCTTGTGCTAGAGAACCCGCCCCTGTGAACCATGACGGGCACTCTCCCATCTGGAGGGGTGACAGGGATCTGGCCCTGTGCAGTCGTGCTGCCCCTGTGCCCAGCGAGAAGCAGCTGGCCTGTGGACTTGCAGGGCCGCTCCTGAGGGTGCTCAGCCTGACCCCCGAGAGAGACTTTTGCTGGCTGTGACTGCCTAGGCCAGGAGACCAAAGAGGTGCCCGGGGCTGGTCATCTGGGCGGGTCTGGCGGCCGCTGTAATTGCTGGGCACCAGAGGCCGGGCTGGGCCTGCAATGGAGACATTTATAGCCAGGCGGCCTAGGAGACATTCAAGTGGTTTTCTTTCTTTTGTGTCCCTTTAATAAACGAGGACAGACATCAAATTAAAGCTGATTCTGGAGAAACTTGGCTTTGCTTCTAGGCTCTGGAGAGGTCAGGGGAAGGTCATTGTGCTTGCTGACCTTGAGGTCTGGATTTTTTACCACATGCTTGTACAATGTAGATTTGGATGTCAGGGCTAGTTAGGCCTCTGAGGTCCCTGAGACCAAACCGACCCTCAGGCTTGTGCAGGGATCCCCGCTAGCACATTCCTCATCAGTCTTTGGTTACAGCCTTCCAGGGGCTGGGAAATCACTGTCGTTCAAAGCAACCCCGTGACTGATGGACAGCTCTTCGCTGTCTGTTTTTTGGGAACTTTGTTTCATATCCTAGATCTGATGTTCACCAGTGTCTCTGAGGACTCTGAACAAGGACTGTCACCCTCCTGCATCTCAGCTTCCTTCACTGCCCAATATCATCCATTCATTCATCAGAATATTTTGCCTTACACTGGGCTTTACCAGAAGCAAACTTGAGACAAGGATTTGAATAAGTCATTGGGAAGGTGACCCCCAGAAAGAACCATGGGAAGAAGAGATTGAGACAAGGACAATTGGAAAACTGAGTTTTGTGTCCGCCAAAACTAAGTTCCACTCCTAAGCTAGATACCTATGAATATAGCTGTAATGGGAAAGTCTTTGCAGATGCAATCAAGTTCAGATAGGTGATAGTAAATTAGGGTGAGTCCTAATCCAATGACTGTATCTTTATAAGATGAGAGAATTGAGCACATAGGTGCACATGAGGTAAGATGGCTACACAAAGACCCAGGGACATACACAAGGAAGTGAGACCAGAGCTATGCTGTTGAAAGCAAGTACTCCAGCAGCTCCTGGATGCTGGGGAAAAGACCCAGAAGATCTTCCCTCTGCTCTTTCAAGAAACCAACCCAGCCGCCATCTTGATTTTGGACTTCCAGCCTCTTGAGTTGAGACAGAGTACATTTCTGTTGTCTTCAGCCATCTAGTTGGTGGTGTTTTGCTATGGTAACCTTAGGAGACTAATATGAAAGGGACAAGTCAATAAACAATAAGGCAGTGTGTCTGTCCAGCAGTTACTGCAGTGGGGAAACTGAGGCTTGGTCTCTCAGGGGAGCTCAAGGAGCTTTAGCGTTATAGCAGCCTGGGGAAGAGATAGAAACTCCCCCACCAGCTCCCTTCTGTCCTTGCTTGAAGGATGCTGTTGGGAGCATAGCCCCTGATGCACAGGAAAGGGGTTCTGAGAGGAGGGACGCCAATGTTGTCTGACAGATCTTTAGTGAGTGCCTACTATATACAAGGCCCCATTCTAAAATGTGGACTACGGCTTTCAAGCTACCATCCAAGGCCTTCCAGGAGGGAGACAGGTGACAATTTAGCAAACCCAGAGGCAGCCGAATACTCAATGGAGTAGAAAGGGGACACACAGCAGCAGGTGGTCGCCAGATCCAGGAGGATGGGGAGCACTTGTTTATCCCAGATTATTACATCAGGAGGAAGTAGTGTCTGGATGGAGACCTGAATGTTGAGAAAATTCACCATGTAGCATCTGGTGGAACAGCATTCTATGCCAAGGGAACAGCCAGTGGGGCCCCGGAGGGGACAGGAAGGGGTGCTTCTGTGAAGAAATGAGCCCCTGAAGCCAGCTCAGTTGGGCGGGCAGGAGACCGGTAGGAACCAGTCTCCCTCCCCTGAGTGTGTGCTTTTGTTCCCAGCACTGACCAGCACTTCTGGACCTATGGGAAGTCCTTGAGAGGCTCCTAGCGCAGGGGTCAGGTGGAGGGACTTTGGGTCCCCTGTTCTGGTTCCTCACAGCCCTTTGACTTAGGACAAGGCATTCAGCTCCGAACCTCACTTCCCCCTGCTATAAAATGGCCATGGCTGTGTCTGTCTTGTGGATTTGGTGCGAAGTTTACAGGTTACCTTGTCCCTGATATGTGACACTCAGGGCCTCGGTGCTTGGAAGCCACCCGCCCTGCCTGTTCACCCTACCCCCTCAGGGTGACAGTGGTCAGCCAGCGGTCCTCGCAGTGGGCAGAGACCTCAGGCACCGAGTTGACTGCAGTAGGGTTGGTCTATCTTGTTTTTTTTTTTTTTTCCCGGTACTGGGAATTGAACTCATGACCTTGTGCTTGCCAGGCAGGCGCTGTGCCGCTGAGCTAAACCCCCAGCCCCCGGGGTTGGTCTATCTTTATACAATCACTGGGTTTACGAAACCAAGAGACTGAGAATGAAGGAGACCCTGTGAGGGGATAATGGGAAGAGGGGACGGCAGTGGGCTGGGCCTTCTCCCCATTTCTTCTTTTGATCCTTAAAACAAGAATGGGGAAGAAAGGGCAGCAGATTTCCTCCCCTCCCATCTCCTTTCCTTTCCTTAGTTTTTCTTTTCTTTGGGCAGCATCTCCCTGCGTAATTTAAGCTGACCTTGAACTCACTAAGTGACTTAGGCTGGCCTCAAACTCACAGCGATCCTCCTGCCTCACCCTCCCAGTTGGTGGGATTACAGGTATGCTCCACTATGTCTGGTTTGCAGCAGATTTTCTAATGCCACTTTTTGCTTATGAAATTAATACATGTTTAATATTTTTCAGGTTTAAAGCTTTTCAGGTCATTTAGGGGTATTTAGCATGAAATGAAAATCACCACCTCTTCTACTAGAGACATTTCCTGCCAAAGTTTCCTAGGCGTAGCAGACAGAAATACAGGCTTTGGGTTTTGTTTTGTTGTTGCTTTTAGCAAACATGGGAACCTATTTGCCCTTTTAATTTAATATCCAGTGGACATCTTCCTTTATCACAGATCTGCAGGTAGACATTGTCACCCGTTGTATTGATTTTGCACAAAGTCACATACTGGGGCAAGGCATAGGGGGGCTGGAATCTAGGTCCCTCTAAGATGCTGGCACCTACCCTGATCATCTCAGCTAACCTGGGCAGAGAGACAAGCAGTCGACAGAAATGGGTGATTGTGGAACTCTGAACACAGTTCCGGGAGTAGGGGCCCAGCTATCAGGGCGCAAACCTCCTGTAGGTCTGAGCAGGTGGCACCAGTGAGGGAGGCACCAGATGCCAGCAGCACCCAGCATCAAGCCCCACCCAGGTAGACCCAGCTTCCCACTGCCATGCGTGCCCGGCTCCCACCAGGCTCCCTCACCTTCCTGACGTCATCCTTGCCCCTGTTCTGTGTGAAGAGGCTTGAAGCCTCTTCACAGTCCTCCTGGGGTCCAGCTGGCTTGCAGCCTTTCCCCCATCGCCCTGCAGCTCAGCCCCACAGAGGTGCATGTTGCCTGCCCACCTTTCTGTCTACACTGCATCACTCTTCCCTAAGGGACGCTGAAATCCTCTGAAACACTCCAGCAGGTGGTCATTCAACTTTTTCTTGGTCGACTCCAGTGATGAGAAGCATCTAAGCAAGTTGGTTCCATCTGGAAAGACTATAATGGTGGGCGGGGAATGAGCTTGGGCCGTGGAGGCAGAGCCAGTGGCTGTGGGGAGGACAGAGGAGATGACCCATACGTGTAGTCTCTTGCAGTTGTGTGTGAGGGGAGAGGGCCCAGTTTCCCCATCTGGTTTCCTTTGGCTGGGTGTTTATCAAACTGCAAGCCACCAACTATGAGTGAGCTATAGTATTAATTTAGTGGGCTTTGACTAGGATTTTTGGAAAGGAACAGAACAGCATAGGCTAAGAAAAGTAGGTGTGCATTTCAAGCCGTGAAGGGCAAAGTTTGTGAAATTTTTGCAGCCAGCTGGACACACACATGTGGCGGGCACTGAGTGTCATGCAGGCCTGGTGGGGGCAGGGGCCTCCAGCAACGCTGAGGGTGGCCTGGAGGGGCTCCCAGGGTTGGGCGCCTCTTCCCGCTCTCCTCACACCAGCACCCGAGTCCCGGCAGGGGCCCCAGGGGTGGTGGGAACAGGGAGACCCTCTCGTCTCTCCCCACTGCATCTCCTGGGCTCTCTGCAGCCCCATAAATCGTCTGCCTTGAGTCAAGGGCATAGAACTCCCTGATTTATGCCCCACCGGGACCGCCCCCTCTGCCTCCCTCTCTGGCTCTGTGGGGCCACGGCCTGGCAGGCTGCTGGCTCCAGACAGCTCTTGCAGTTGCCATGGTGACAAGTTCAGGCTGGGCCATCATCCTCTCTCCCTCCCTCCGGCTCCCACTGGGGCTGGCTTTCCAGCTAAGCTCCCATTGGGCCCATGTGTCTGTGTCACACAAAGTGCAGACGTATGACATTTTAGGGAGAGGCAGCCTGGCGTTAGGCGAAAGCCTGGCCTTAGTATTGCTGACCAGGGTCTGAATCTGGCTTCTCCATGTCCAGGCTGGGTCACAGGACCAGCCTTGTGGGTGTGTTACAAAGGACCGCTGAAGCACAGGGACAGCACTGGGCCCTTCATTGACTCAGACCTCACATCTCCATCACCTCATGGAGTCGATGTTGGGACATCTAGATTTGCTGCTGCCCCAGGATCTGCAGCAGTGACGGGCGTATACTAGCTTCTCAATAAATGTGAGTAGCTCTCTTAGGTTATTGTAGAGAGTCTGGAGCGGGAACATAAGCATCGTGGCTAAAGACTGCTGCAGACCCTTGGGCGGTCGTGGGAGTCAGTTCCCTTGCCTTGGGCCTGGCTTGGCCTTAGTGCTCATATCTTTTTTTGTTGTTGTTGTTTTGGTTTTTTTTTCTGGTACCGGGAATCGAACTCAAGACGTTGCCCTTGCCAGACAGGCGCTGCGCCGCTGAGCTACATCCCCAGCCCCTCTTGGTGCTCATATCTAACCAGCAGAAATGTCACAGGGTGACCCTGCCTCCTTCCTGGGCTAGGGCAGAAGGGCCCCAGTCACCATGCAAGCAGTGGAGGAGCCAAGGGCGCTGTACTGGAACAGCTGTGAGGAGGCGCTGGCTCCAGGGAAGAGAGGAGGGAGGCGCTGCCAGGTGTGAATCCTTATCTCAGCCCCCAGGCCCCTCCCAAACTGCGCATTCAGGAGAGAAACGGTCAGAGAAACCTTGTACTCGGCTGTTTTGATGCTCATCAAGTTTGGTACTTGATGGCATGTTGATGTGAAAATTTCGCCCCAGTACCGGCCATTTGTTTGGTGCTTAACATGCAAGCTAGAACTTGTCAGTGTCGATTGCCTTGCGGCTCGCTGCCCTCTCTAGCCAAGATAATTTGTTTAGTATTCATAGTTTTTGGTATTCATTACACCTCCTGGGACCAATTAACGATGAGAACTAAGATAGCACTGCATATAACTGGCATTGCTTTAAACAGTAAGTTTTGGGTGGATTGGTTTTGAAGGTGTATTTGTTAGAATAACATGTAAAACCCAGGGCCCTGCGCCTAGCACATAATATGTGCTCAGTGAAGGGCAGTAGCAGTAGTAGGTATCGTTGCTGCTAAGAACTCAGGATTGGGCCTTGGGAGTCCGACTTCTTGGGTCTGAGTCATAGTGGCTGCTTCTTAGCACTTAGACCACCTGGATGGGTCCCTTTCCCTCTCCAGGCCTTGGTGAATTCTTCCCTATAGGCTAAGACTGATGCTGACGGTGCATAGAGAGCAGAGGTATGAAGCCAAGTGCAGGTAGGGCTCAGCCACCGGGGACAGCCCTGCCTTCGGCACTGACATCGGCACCGGGATCTTCCACTTGATGTGAAAGTTTGGGCTCTCACAGGACCTCAAGCCAGCCTGGGCTGCAGGAACAAAGCCTCCTCCACGGGGTGCGAGCGTCCAGCACACGTGTGCAATGGGGCTGCTGGGGGAAGGGAGGGCTTTGAGTTATGATATTTTTATCTTTATAAAGAGCTCTGGGTGGCCCATTTGAAAACCAAATAAATAATAACAATGACAGTGGGGAAGGAAGGAGGAGGAGGAAGGGAATTTGCCCGGTGCAGCGCACCTACTCATTGCTTCTAGAAACTGCCGGGGGATAGGTTTCCAGCTACCACTCAGTTTTGTGAGCTCCTGGAGGTGGAGATGGAGAAGCCCCCCCCTCTTGTTTGGGTAGGTCCCTCGCTGCCTTTTGGATATTTAAGGATATTCTAGACCCACTGGCCCATCTTTTCACTGTACAAATGAGGACCAAGGAAAGACAGTGACTTGCCCAAGGTCACAAAGAGGTGCAGGGTCAGAGCTGGGACCAGGACCTCCAGGCTGTCCCAGCCTCAGAAGCAGTGGAGGGCACACCGCACACCAGGCTGTTGGGAGCGGAGTTTGCCCTCTCCCTGCCTGTCCAGACCCCTCCCTCTGCCTGCCTCGGACTTCCTGGCATTAAAATTCCCCTTGTGGGAGCCTCCACTCTCAGTTGTGCTAGCGTCTGACAGGGACCCAGGTGAAGGCGTTATGTTATCACTGATCTCATCTCCAGCCTGGGTGAGAGCGGCATAGGGCTGGTTTCCTCATCTCCCCTTTAGCAGATTGGGAAAGGAGGCCCAGAACGGGGGCGTGGAGTGGGGTGAGCCTGTGTTTATCTCAGGAGGCCATGGGGAGGCTCCTTGCAGAGCAGTAGTCTACATGGTGCACTTAGGGGGGCTCCTGGAATACCCTCGGCACCTCCCGGCTCACAGCCTGTCGCCCAGCCAGCTTCCTCCCATCAAAAACCTCCAGCAGTTGCTCCTTTCAAGTTAGAAAGCCAGTCATCAGCACCCTCCTGTTGTCCTGCGTCTGGGCTGATAGTAATGGGGTAGGATAGGACAAACACAGAGTCGGGAGTCATTTCTCCTTGCTTTATGACCTTAAGAAAGTAATTTTCCCTTTCTGAGGCTTAGTTTCTTCATCCCTAAAATAGAGCCCTTCCTCGGATCTCCTTGACTCCACGGAGATGAGAGACACATGATCCTGTAGTTGATGTTTGCAGAACAAACCTCTCAAACTGAATGGCTTAGGGACAACCGCCCTTTCTTTTGCTTACGAATTTGTGATTTGGGCAGAGCTGGGCAGGGACATGGATCCCACCTCCACCCTGTGCTCGCTGGGCTGTGGTACTCCCCCCGGATGCTGGCCCCACTGCTGGGAAGGTGGTGTCCCCCCCTAGTGGGCCTCTGCACAGGGTAGCTGGGGCTCCCTCCTACCATGGCAGCTGGGTTCCAAAAGTGGGCATCTCCAGAGAAGGGATGTAGGTAGGACATCCCTTCATGACAGTGACATGACAGTGACATGTCCACTGTAATCTGTTACAGAGCCTAAATGCAAAGAGAAGGGACCTAGGAAACAGCATTTATCACTACTGCAATAAAATCATTATTTGTGTAAATTTATCAACATCTGCCTCCCCTGGGCCACCGAGTCCCCAGACACTGAATCCCCAGAACCTGGGCTGGTGCCTGGGAGACAGAGGCCTTCCATGGACACGTGTGAGTGCTTGGATAAGGGGAAGGACCCGTTCCCGTCCCCCCAGCTTGTGGCTCAGGCGGAGGTACAGGAGAGGCTATGGAATAAGCCCTGATCTGGTATACAAGGCCTGGACTTGGGCCCCATCCCCGGCCCCCAGGGTACTGGGGGACCTTGGGCAAGTCACAAACAGCTCCATGGGTGTCAGCAAAGCTAATAAAACCAGACCCTGGCTTTTCAACTTGTGTCATCAAAAACTCTGCATCTGACTTGCTTTAATTAAGATAAGAGCACAGCAAAATGTTTGGACTTGCTGTTAGTCCTTTGATGTCCGGCCTTCTGCCTCGATGTTTTTGATGTCCAGGACTCGGGAACTGGACTGGCTTCTCGGTGCTGGCTGGCGGGCTGCCGGCCTTCTGCTGTTTGCCTTGTTAAAAGCACTTACGACCTAATAAAGTGAGATTGATGTGGCCTCCCTCGGCTGGGGGAGCACTTTCCACTTCCTGTATCTAGTGGGTTTCTCAGCTGGGCTCACGCTGATGTTTATTGAGCACCAGCTGAATACAAGGCCCCAGGCTGAGTTTCACTGAGTCCGTAAAACGCTCTCTAAGTGGGATCTTGTGACTGTCCCCATCTGCAGAAGAGGAAACAGAGGCACTGGGAGGCCAAGTGACTTGCCCACAGCCAGTGGTCAGTGTGGCCTCCTGTGGCTGCTGGTGGCCCAGCTTGGACAGGGACCTGAGAGAGGCTGTGGGGCAGCAGGCGCACAAGCTTGGTCTCTGAGCTGCTCAGTGCCGTGGTTGGGCCTCCGGGGGAAGCAGCAGGTCTGTGACTTGCTGTCTGTGTGACCCCCGTCTTACGGGGGGGGGGGGGAACTGAGGCTGAGAGAGGTTGCGCTAAGGGGACTGGGAAGACTGAGTGCAGGGAGGAAGAGGAGGGGACTTCGGGACCCTCTGCCCTTTGTCTAGCTGTGCTCAAGTTCAGGGCAGGCTGAGATGTGATGCCATGGGTGATGGAAAGGAGGGGACACGGTGGCCTCTGCGAGCAGCAGTGCCGCGTAGAAGATGAAACGCTGCTCATCCTTGATTCCCAAAGTGGAACGAGGAGGCGCTGAGGGCGGGGCCTCATACCCAATGCCCCGCTGTGACTGGGGTGCTCCCAGGAGAGCAACAGGCCCAGTGACATCCCTGCCTTCAGTCCATGCAAGGCCAGAAATCCACCATGAGCCCCCCACCCACCTCAGAAGAAAGTCCGACCTGGTTGAAGGGAAAGGAGGGTCATGTGTTTCTATGGCAGTCTAGAAACTTCCATTCCCTCATCTGAGAACACCAGCCCACTGGGTTGTGACATGCCCTGGCACCGTGCTAGGCACCCTATGCAGGGGAGACTGAGCTATGGTGAACTGAGGCCCACACAGCAGACCCTGAATGCCTGGCCTGCTGCGGAACGAAGGGTGCTGTAATTCATGGAACCCCAACTGTCCCCAGGACTCACGGTCGGCAGGTACCGCTGAAGTGGCACTGACATTAACGCTCAAACAAGACCCCTCCCTTCTCCACCTTGATCTGGAGTGCCAGTTACTCCCAGCACCTCCTCACCCACATCTTCTGCTTGCTTTTTCATTTTTGTGTGTGTCATACTGGGGATCAAACCCAGGGCCTTTGCACTGAGCTATGATCAAGCTCTCTTTTTCACTTTTTCAAGTCAGGGTCTTGCTAAGTTGTTCAGTTGCTTGGGCTGGGCTCGAACTTGCAATCTTCCTGCCTCAGCCTCCCAGAGCAGTGAGATTATAGGATGTGTGCCACTGCTCCTGGCCCCTGCATTTTTTGATACAGTGCTTGGCCATAGGCATCTCCAAAATGCTTTGTGGGAGTTGAGGGGCACCTTGCGTGCGAGTCACCCTGAGTATCTGGAGCCACATTTGCCCTGGGGTCCAAAGGGAGGAGGTCAAGGGGTGAGCGTAGGCCAACTCCAGCTTGGAAATTGTCACCCGGGCCCGTAGGCGCCCTACCTTGGCCCTGTCTCTTTCACGGTGCCTGTGAAAAAGGCTCAGGCAGCATCTTCCCTGCCTGTCTCCAACAAGTTTCAAAGCCAGACTGGGGCAGAAGGCAGTTTCCCCCATTTCCCCTTCTCCCCCATCCCTGTCCTCAAGTGCCCAGCATCTCCTTCCCCTGTGAGTCCTCATGGGAGAGGACTCCCCAGGGCCATCGTTGGCCGGACTCTGAGCTGCAGGGTAGGCTACCAGCCTGGGCACCGGGTGTCCCAGGCAGGTCCTGGGTTTGTTCTTCCATCTTTGCGTGGGCTCATCCTCAGGCCCGTCCAGCTCCGAGGCCCAAGGCCTGATGTCTTTTCTACGCCGGTGGCCGCCAGGCCTCCAGAACAGCCGGAGGCCCCTTATCACACGCTGCTATCTTCATTGTTTGCAGAGCGCTGCTTTCCCCTGGCTAAGAAAACATGTTTGCAAAATCAGATTTCCCTGGAAAGCCGGCAGGTTAAAAGGAAAGGAAACGGTTTGAATTCTGTGAAGCGGGGATCTAAAGGCAGGGGTAACCTCTGGGATTGCCCTTTGATTACAGGAAGCAGGGCCTGATCCCAAATTCCACCCCTGGGCAGCACCCCCCCACACTCATCCCTTTCCAGCACCTACAGACGGCTGAGGCCTGTAGAAACTTAGAGCTTTTTTTCAGGGTCACAGGGTGGAGATTCTCCTTCTCCAGAACCTGCTGTAACTGCCCACCAAGGGCAAGGCGAGCTCAGACACAGCCTGGTGTTCAGGGTTCTCCTTTCCTTCCTGCGGCCCTTTGGTTCCAGACATCTCCTGCAGGACCCAAGCAGGCTGGGCTCTGCCATGACTGTACCTCCACACTCTGTCCCTGTCTGTCTAGCTCCCTGCTACTCTTCCAGACCCTATCAGAGGGGCCCTCTCCAGGAAGCCTTTCCTGGCTATACCCTCACGAGGCCTTGCTGAGAGCCTTGTCCACACCAAAAGCGTTGCCTGCTGACTTCTCACCAGCACCCTGTCCCCTCCCCACTTCCACCATCGCTGGGACCAAACACGGTTTGTGCCCCGCTGCCTTCCTGGTCAGAGTCTGGAACCCACTCCCTGGACCTGGCCTGGCCAGCTCGGAGCCACTATGGGCCACCTTGGAGAGAACCAAAGTGTTTCCACAGAGGGAAAGTGATATGAACACTGCAGCAAGTTGCCCAAGAGCCTCATGCCGGGTCCTTTCTTAACAGTGACTTTTCCTGCCTTGAAAGCCAACAAAGCATGTATGTGGCTTCACAGCAGCTCTGCGACCATGACAAGGAGCTAGATCTACCTGTGCTGCCGGGCAGAGCTGGCTGCGATGGAGACACAAGCTGTGGAGAGAGATGGACGTAGACCCCATTTGTTTCTAGAAAAAAGAGGAAGAAAACTGAATACCTGATGCTGTCCTGCACTCAGCACTGGCCCGACGCTTCGTACATACCAACTCTCCCGGTCCGCACAGTGAGCCTGCGTGGGAGGTGTCATGCTGGCCCCGCTTCATGAGCAAACTGAGGTCAGAGGTGAGACTGGGCTGCAGCTGTGAGCAGGCTCCGGCCTGCGTGCTCTCAGGCCCTCCCCGGGCTGCCTGGGTGCTGTCCAGGCTGCCCCATGCTTGTGTCTCTGTCCGCACAGCCAGCGCCGCAGCGAAGTTGGTGACCATGCTCTTCTGCGCCTTGAGTACAGCCGGGTTTGGCAGGAAAGGAACGGGGAGACTTTCATTTCCCCTTCTGTTCTGTGCAGTTTGGTTATTACACATCATACCATTTACCATGAACGTTAAAAACAGGAAAAGCAGCCCATACTCAGGGTAGAACATTCAGAAGGGGAAGAGAAAGGCCCCAGGAACCTGCATCAGCCTGGATCTCTTGGAGATGGTAGGGAAGTGTATTCAGGGTCATGGGATCTAGAGGAATCCCCGCAGGAAAGGGTGAATAATAGGGTAACGCCAGGTCCCCGGGCAGCAGGAGGGAGGGCAGAGCTCAGCTCAATGGGAGAGGCACTTTGGAACCTCAGAGCGATCCCTCAGTAGGGAACACAGCCTGGTGTGGTCCCCACTACCCGTCAGTGGAGGCAGGCAAGCAGACGCATGCCAGATAATGCTGGACTGTTGGCTAAATAGCTCACACGAGTTCGTGTGACTGTGAGTCAGAGTTACAGTAAGTGGATGAACTGCAAGGACAGCACAGTGCCTGACTGTACCAGGTAAAGCAAAACAACAGCAAGGAGAGACTTGCCCAAGTCCAGCAGCACCCATGCGTCCTGGGGCACTCAGATCTCCCAGTATCACAGGCACGAAAACACTGCAGACCTTACACAAGAGGCTCAGAGGGGCCTAGACTTGGTCCAGGTCACCCCGCTGGTCCAGAGTCCCTGGCTGTAGCCTGGCAGGCCTTCTGCACCTGGAGATAGGTTAAGACAGTATGACAGAAACAGCAGTTGTTCTGATGTTCAGTATCTAGGAGGTGCTTGAACCTGAGTTCTAGCCCTGCTCTGGCTGAAGGTACTCCCAGTCCCTCTGGTGCTGCTTGGAGATTTCCCATCTGTCTTCCAGCTCCTCTCTGTGTGCACCCGACCCCATTCGCTTTGCTTGTCCCCTGTCAGAGGCCCCTAGGAGTCCTCTGTTGGACAGGGATGAGGGAGGACCTCTGGGGCGTCAGGCACCCCGATGCCTGGACCTTTACTTCATCCTGTGTGGATTTATAGATGTGTGTTCCTGAACTTTCATGCACTGTCCACAGCCCAGCGCATGGTCGAAAAACAACAGAGATGATGAAAGAGATCTTGCCTGCAGATGAAAGCGGGCGGAAACGGGCCTCCCACAGCCCGTCTGGCCGCAGGCCCGCTGTGTGCTCTTGTCCAGGCTGAGGCTGCAAAGTCTGGTGACGCCCGGGAAGGCTCCTGCTCATCCTTGGGTCTGGGGCTGCCAGGCTCCCTGGTTGCCAAGCCTGGGATGAAGCATGGGGGAAGAGGCAAAGGGAAATAGGGGATCTGTCCGGAGGCCAAAGAGACTGACATGCTGGTCAGAGAGGCTTTGCAAACCCTGAGTCAGACAGGACAAGAATAAATGAGCCCCAGGATCTCGCAGAAGCCTGTGGCCTCTCTCTGCCTGCCCCACTAGTTCTGCCCCCGCCACCCAGTCTTGAAACTCAGCAAGTAGTTTGCCCACCTCAGGGCCTTTGCACGGGTTGCTCTACATCTGGGCCACAGTCTTCTCTCTATGCTTCCCAAGTCGGCCACATCCTTCAGGTTTCTCATTAAATGTCACCTCCTCAGAGCAGCCTCCCGTGATGATCCCATCCATTCCACAGGCTGGGGCTCTGTCTCCTTCATGCACTTGGCACAATTCATAACCCTTGCTTTAACGATTACGAGTGATTTTAATTGTCATATTTATTATGTTGATTCAAATGCATTATTAATCATTGGAGTGATTATAACCTGTAAATTACTTACTGCCTTCATGATTATTTGTAAGCTCAATGGAAAGGTGCCTCTTCTGCCATTAACTTGCTGCTTGGGAATCTGGCACCAGCTCCTGTGATCCTAACAGCAAATGTGCTCAGCTTGAACTGCCACGAAGCACTTTCCATCCACGACCACATCTAATCCTCAAAGCAACCCAGAGTCCGGTGTGAGTATCATCCCATCTCCCAGAGGGAAGCCTGAGGCCAAAGGATGAATGTGAAACGCTAGTCCTATTGCTGGATTCCCAAGGGCTTTGCCCACCTGGGGACCTTGGTGCCTCACAAGTGAGCACTGTGCTGCTGACAGTGAAACTGGGAGTAAAGCTTAGGAGGGGACTCTTAGGAGGGGACTCGTAGGTTTTTGCCCCAAGTAGATTGGAAGGTGGGCACAGCCAGAGCTGTGGGCCAGAGTGAGCCATTGTGGGAATGGGATACTAGGGGGCAGCAGGGAGGGACCGCTTTCTTGGCCCAGTCCCTCCTCTCCCCACTGGGCTCTGCAGAGTGACCTGGCCTCCTCCTGTGAACCCCCCAGAAGGCAGAGGGTAGGGAGTAAACCGAGCCTTTGCCCTGGAGGCTGTGGCTTTGCTCCTGGAGTGGGGGCTCTCATGTCCTTTGTACCCCTGTGGCTGAGATCAGAGGCAAGCACAGTGAAATCTCACTCAAGCCAGTGACCAGTACCTGCCTGGGCCTGGGGGACCAGAAATGGGTGTTTAAAATCAGCTGGTAAAAGCCAGGTGTGGTGGTGCACACCTGTAATCCCAGCACTCGGAAGGCTGAAGCAGGAGGATCGTTGCGAGTTCAAGGCCAGCCTGTGTTACAAAGTGAGTTCAAGACCAGCCTAAACTGCATAGCAAGACCATGTTTCAAAAACACAAACAAAAAATTCCAAAAATAAAATAGCTGGTAGAGCTGGGAAGAAGGGGAGTCAGAAGGCTAGAAACAGCCATGGAGCCCCTAGACCCCCAAGGAAGCAAATCCCAACCCCATGTCTGCTTGTACTTGATCGACACACGTGACAGCCCTGGGCGAGGCTCACGTGGGCAGAGCTGCTCCGTGAGTCACACTGAGTCTTTCTTGTTTGACATGAGTGAAAGGAGAGCAAGGTTTTACAAATGTGTGTTGGGTGCTCTTTATCCGCTTTTCTCTATTTTTGTATGTGTTGAGCTTTTATATAATGAGTAAAAGTAGAAGAAAGAAGGAAGGAGGAAGGGAGGAAGAAAGGAAAAAAGGAAGGAAGCAAGAAGGAAGGAAAGACGGGGGGGGGGGGAAGGAAGGAAGGAAAATTCCACTTCTTAATGAGGCCGGTGTACACGCGTGCATGAAGGGAGTCGGAGATCTGTGAAGCTGATAACAGTGGTAACCGCCAATGGAATTATGGATGATTTTCACTTTCTTCTTTATACTTTTTATTTTTCCAGTTGGGAAAAACCCCAGCACCATTCAAAAGGAGAGAAGGAACGCCATGGGTTTGAGACTTCCTGCCAGCCGCTCAGCTCCCACTCTGCTCTGGTCACCTCACCTTCCTGAACTTCATCTGTTTGCTCAGCAAGATGGGGTGCGAGGGTTGCAGTGAGGACAGAAAGAGGAGAGACTGAGGGTGCGGCACAGCAGGTCCCACACATGGTAGGTGCTCACTACCCTGGCTGCCGACACTCAGTGCAGAGCCTGGGGAGACAGTGAGGCTTCCTGGTCCCGCACACGTGCTCTTGCCTGCCCTGTGCCCTTGTGCGCGTGCGTGCGAGCACACACACACACACACACACACACACACACACACACCGCGGTGCGCACATGAGCGTGCTGTAACCTGCGTGGGGTGAGAGGAGAAAGCCCCATCCCTGTCCAAGATAAACACAGGAAGTGAAGATCCCGGAGTGTCAGGGTGAGGTTGGGAGCTGTCCATAAACTCTGGGCAGAGCCGGAGGGTGGAGGGGGCCCGAGGAGGGAGGGAGGGTGTGGGAGTCTGGGCAGGGGCCTGAGTTTGACATCCGCTGTCCTGAGTTCAAATGTGAAAAGTTGAAATGGTGACTAAGCTTCGGGGCAGTCTTGGCTCTGCCTGCCTGCCTGCCCGTCTGTCTTGTCTGTCTGTGGATCTGTCCAGGGCAACACCTGCACCCACCCACCTCTCACTTTCCAGCCCTGGGATCTGTGAGGCCCCCACACTTTGGGAAGCCAGAACCTATGTTCAGCAAATGTTTGTTACAGGAATGCACAGCTGGAAAGAAACAGGATTGCCGGTCTGGGATGCTCCTGACCCAGTGCTTGTCCTCGTGTGGAGAGATTACAGCAGGGGCAGCGGCCACGCCCCAGATGCCCACCTTCCTTGCTGGAGTCCTGGATTCTGCTTCCCCTGTAGCCCACTGGATCACAGGGGAGAGGTGTGGTGGGTCTCTGCCAGGCCGGGGGTAGGGGTCCCCCTGGGCTGGCCACTCAGGGGGCTGCCGGAGGATGTTTTTGGATGGATGAGCACTCACTGTGTGCCAGGTTCTTTACATCAGCATTAAATCCTTTGCTGAAACAAAGCAAGGATGGTGGGAGGAGGAGGAGGAAGAGGTTTTCTACTTTTGTCTCAGCTGCCCAGCCATCCTCATTTTACCCTGAATTTTCCAGCTCCATCAAAGCCACTCGGCCAGAGGCAGCTGCGTCTGGTCCAAAGCAGGGGCCCGCCCTTGGCTCCACGCTGCCCCACAGCACATGCCAGGCTGATGCAGGGCGATAACCTTTCCTTTAGGAAGCCGTCCACTTACCCTACTAGGTGACGGGGTGAGTATAGAATCTCCCTTTGGAAGGCAACCACCGCTCCCCTCTTGCTGTCTCAGCCCCTCCACAGCTGGGGGCCCCTTGGGCACATTGTCCACCCTTCTGCTAGTTTCCTGCTCCGGCTGCTTCAGCCCTTTGCTCCTCCTGCTGACCCAGGACAGAGGAAGACCGTGTCTACTCGCTGGTGAGGAAACTGAATCCAGGAAGACCACACAGACAACTAGACACAGAGCCCAACCCAGACCCAACTCTCTGCTCCCAGGGCTGCAGAGCCTTGCAGGCAGCAGCAGCAAGGCCATGAAAAGCGGCCTCAGGGGTGTGGGCTTCCCTCTGGCTCCTGTCCTTCTTGTCACGTTCACCCTGCTACTGCCTTGGCCTCAGGTCCCAATCTCACCCTTGTCACCAGTGGCCCATCCAGAACAGTGCCTGGGCCTGCACTTACTCCAGCATCTCTCCTTCCTGTTATCGCTCTACTCACACTTTCAGCCCCGTGTTTCTCCTTTCAAATCCTCCAGTGCCCTATTCTTTCCCAACCTAGGGGTCCTACCGTCACTTCTAGCTTCCTCTTTAAAAAATGTCTTCATTGGCTAGCTGGGTGGTTGGGTGGATAGATGGATGGATGGATGGATGGATGGGTGGATGGATGGATGGGTGGATGGATGGGTGGATGGATGGATGGGTGGATGGATGAATGGGTGGATGGATGGATGGGTGGATGGATGGATGGGTGGATGGATGATGAAAAGAAATGAGAGATTCATGGGTGGGCAGGCGAGTGGGTAAATAAGTAGATGATTGACTGGGTAAATGAAGATAAGGGTGATTGAATGGATGAAAGGGTGGGTGATGGATGGAGTGAACAAATGGCAGTTGCATAGATGTATTTGGTTGCATGAAAAGGTGGGCAAATGGATGGATGATTGAGTGCATGGAGAGACTGGATAGATGAAAGGTGTAGGTGGGTGAATGGATTTGCTGGTTGGCTGGGTGGGTGGGTGGGTGGATGGGTGGATGGATGGATGGATGGATGGATGGATGGATGGATGGATGGGTAGATGGATGGATGGATGGGTGGGTAGATGGATGGATGGATGGGTGAGTGGGTAGAAGGATTGGTGGATGGGTGGGTAGATGGATGGATGGATGGATGGGTGGGTGGGTGGATGGATAGATGGATGGATGGATGGATGGATAGATAGATGGATGGATGGGTAGATGGATGGATGGGTAGATGGGTGGATGGGATGAGATGAGATGAGATGATGGGATAAGATGAATTGCTGCTTGAGTTCTGCTGAGACTTTGTCTTCTCTGTCCCCACTTCAGTGATCTGGACCTATGGTGTTTACCCCCAGCTCCAATTTTTCCTTCCCCACAAGGACTTGGGAACAACATGGAGACACAGAAGCCCTTACCTCTGAGGAAAGCAATAAACTCAGAGTAGCCTTTTGGGTGTGGAGTCAGCCTCTGTCTTCCCAGCCATTCCTTGTCTCAGCAGCCCCCTCTCTGAGGGTAATTTTTACTTCTTCATGTATCCTAAAACTAAAACTAAAACCAAAGTGTCTCTTCAAGAACAATGCAATTCAATTTAATTAACTAAAATTACACATTGAGGCCTAGAGCTTAAACTTTAAAAGACTGGAAACCTTGTCTTGGAGTTTTCCAAAGTAAGGTGTGTATGTATGTTGGTACTTATTTTTGGAGACAGGGCCTCACTGTGTAGTTCAGGCTGGGCTTGAACTTCATATGTACCGGCCCTGGATTTGCAACAATCCTCCTGCTTCAGCCTCCTGAATGTTAGAATTATGGGCACATACCACCACGGCCAGCTTTCATTTTGAAGGAATTTAAATGTTAAGAGGACCCCCACCTTTAACCAGAGAAGTATACAGTTAAAGACGCTACAGTCATCCCCAAATTTTGTCTGAGGGTCTTCAGGCTAATTTGCTAACACAGTCATTGATGTACAAAGCGAAAAAATGAGGCAAACACCGTTAGGGCTTGGTGGGTACAAAGACACCAACAGGGGTGGAAAGACAGGAAACAGGTCATTGAACAAGGAGAGCTTTGGGGGACGCACCCCTTCTTCAACCCCTTGTCCCAATGCAGAGAGCCTACACTCTTCACTTCTGAGAGCTGCCCAGGGCCCTTGCTGGAGATATCAATGCCCCTGTGCTTCCTGGAGCAGGAAGAGGGAATCCCTAGCCTTTACATCTCCTCTGCGTTTGCCTTTCACATAAGCCCTGACTCGGCCTCACACGAACACTGTGATCTCCACTTGCCAGAGGCAGAAACTGAGGTTCAAAGCCAGATGCCAGATCTAGGATCAAAATCCACCTTCAAAATGCTCTGTCTCTTGTCTCTGTGAAGTAAATGAAGGGACTGCAATTCGGAGTGGCCCCAGCCACACAGCCTGTGAGAGAAGACTGGCTTCAAGCATTGCAACTCATGCAAGTGTCAGCTGAGAAGGACAGCAGCGGGTGCTGGGTCTTGTGGTGTGGCCAGTGGGTGGTCGGTCAGGGAGGGCTTCCTAGACGAGGGGGCATTGACCAACACAGGCTCTGGCAGGATCAGTGTCCCCTGAATTCCCATAGAGACAGAGAAAGGAAGGGCTCCTCTTCTCTCTCTTCCTGGGCTCTCTTGTATAGCTAGGGTCAACAGAGACGCCCCTTGCCCCCCATATTTGAGAAAAATCCCACACTTTGGCAGGGCTAAGGGGTAGAAGCAGCCAGCAGCCTTCCATCAAGCCTCAGGGGGTTGTCACCAGGGCGGAGCCAGTGGGGGCGGGGTGGCCCTCTCTGGCCCCAGCCCGGCTGTTTACCTGTCCAGACTATTGCTGAAACCATCCATCCCAGTGACAGATCACGCAGACCCCCTCTTTCCCCCGCCCTTGGCCTCTCATGGGGCAACCACATCCATCCGCAGCCCTGTGGAACCCGAGGCCCCTCAGTCACCTTTCCCCGTATGCCTGCACCTTCCTGGCCAGCTCCTGCACTGGCCCAGGCCCTCGTCCTGCCCCAGCGCCCTGCCTCTGCCGGTTCCACCCATCCATCAAACTCCCACAGCATCGGCAGTGATGGCCGCCGCCACATCCTGGTGCACCAGGCCCTGTGCTGAGGAAGCACCATGACGTCCTTTTCTCTTGACCCTTCCCTTGCGAGGTATCTAGAGAGAGAGGGACAGAGGACTGTGTGTCTGTATGTCCAGTGACATGGGGAGTTCATCAGGTCAGGATGGTGAAGTCACTAACCAACCACCGGAAGTGGGGAGGGGTTGGACAGCTACCGAGTTGGGGAATCTAAGATGCCCTTAAAGGAGAGGTAAGTGGCTGTAGGTAGCCAGGGGTCCTGGCAGACCTGGGGTACCATGAGTGCCCCACATATGCTGGGCCGTCAGGAGCAGCTGGAAAGAGCCTGGAAACCCTCACAGCCTTTCTTGAGCACCTTCCTTCCAGAAAGCACCCAGTCACCCAGCACCCCTTAGAGCTCCTGCAGCCTTTTCAGAAGGAAACTCTGAGGCGTTTAACAAAGTCTCTTTGGTAACTTTCCAAGCAGCCAGGGCCGCCGGCTGGTAGAGGCAGGAGCTGGCCTTATGCTTCCTTCTTCTTCCCACCCTCACCTCCACCCTGGCCTGGCTATGTTTAGTGCAATCACGAGAGCAAATGAGATGCTCTCTGGAGTTCGCTGGGTGGATCCTCGGAGTCACCGGTATCTCCGAGGGGCACTCGTGATGAGACCCAATAGGGCGAGAGCTCAGTGCTCAGCAGGGGCCTGGGGATGCTTGGTCAGGTTGATGTCCCCTCCTCCTGAACCCTTTTGAGTTCTCAAGTACAGGGTGGGTGGGGAGACTCCCCCTCCTCCCTCTGCATCTGTGGTATAGTGGGTCCCTTTCAGCTGGGGTGGCCAGCTCGGTGCCTGAGGCCTCATGGTCTGGCCTCAGCGATTACGGTCTGATCATTGCCTCAGCAGCCTCTATGCAGAAGAGGGGCCCCAGGGCATGGGGAACTGGTGAGCAGACCACCAGGGAAGGCCCCTTGGGATACGGGACACACAGGCTCAGCTGCCTCATGCTGGACTCTTCAAGATGGAGGCCAGACAGACTCGTGGGTCGTGACGCTACTCAGAACAGTGCCCTACCCAGAACCTCAGGAGGTTGTACCCAGGCCCCATGGGGACAGAGGCCTCACCACATTCACTGGTAGGACACTGACCTGCTGCACCCTCTGCACGACCTCTACCCTCTGATCTCAGCAGGAGCAGAGGACGCTCTCCCCAGGGAACCTGGCAGCATAACTCATCTGGCAGGGCTGGGCAGGAGCAAGGGGACACTGGGAGAGGAGGAGCCCTGAAGGAGGGCACTTCTATGGCCTCCCGGCCCAGAGGCCTGGTCAGGGCACCTGTGGGCATGATAATGGAGGGACAGTAGAACTGTACAGAGGAAGGGCCTGTGCCCACCCTGGGCCTGCACAATTTAGGTGGGAAAAGAATGTGATAGGCAGAGGCCTTCCCTGGCCGCCTCACCCCACGTCACACTTCAGGCTATTTTCACAGTCTTTCCACAGTCTGAAGCCCCTCCGTGATGTTGGTTCCCTGAGAACAGACCCTGTGTTCTTCATCATTGTCCCCGCGCCCTGGCACACACAGTACATTTCCATTGTATTACTGGCCACATCATCTGCATCATCTCATTTAATCTTTATAACCACCCTTCGAAGCAGGCAGCAGCAGTCCCATTTTACAGGTGGGAAAACCCAGGGTGAGGAGGGGAACTGATCAGTTTATACCTCTGATGGAGCCTGTGCTCTTGACCATGGCTGGATGTGTGAAGTTGACACATTAGTTTAATATAAAGAAGAGACTGATGAACACTTTGTTTTGTTGGTGTCTGCTGCGCCCTCTTTCCCAGGGAGACCTAGGATACGTGCCCGCTTGTGTGTTGAGGGAGGGCTGGAGAAGGACTTCACCGCCTGAGCTTTGCAGATGGACACTTCGCGCTTTCATCCCGGCCTTGAATTCCTCCAAGGATGGATACTGCAAGTGCCAGGTGTTTGTCTTGGCATTTTCCATGCAGCCTCTCTGTTAATCCTGACCATCCTAGGAGGCCGTCACTGTCACTCTCCAAACTGAGCCCAACACAGGATGAGCGACTCACCCAGCATCGTACAACTGGAACCCAGCACCCTGGCCCTCAGCCGAGGGAGAGAGCCAGGCCTCAGAGCCGGATTCCACCAGCAGTTCCACTACATGCAAACCTGTGGTCTTGGGCCAGCTGGTTACTCTCTCCCAGCCTCAGTTTCCCCAAGGTGGCCTGTGGGGCACACTTGTAGGGTTGCTGTGGGCACTCAATGAAGACATGGGCTAACCTGGCACATGGCAAGGGAGTGACAGCCTACGGTGATGCTTGCATCGCAAACCTGTGTGCAGCAGGTGTGCAAAACTGACACTTCCACACCAGCCTCGCCTGCTGAGAACACAGGGTCAGTCAGACCTCAGTGAAACTGTGCTCAGCCGCCTCAGTGGTGTCCGACTCCAGCACTGGGAATGGACCTTCACATCCTCTTGTTCCGAGCTCCACACAGTGGTCCTGGGGGGCGGCAGGTGCTGCACGGTGGAGGCTGTCCATTCACTCTCACCTGCCGGGGAAGACTCCAGGACTGGGGACCTGGGTGAGGGGTTTCTGGAAAACCCTTTGCTAACCTGAGAGTCATCAGCTGTTCACTTGACAGCTGTGGGTCACACCCAGAACCTTGGTTGTAAGTTCACAAACCTAGGCATTTTTCTTTCCATCCACTACAATAATAAAGATTTATTTTTGTTTGTTTGTTTGTTTATTTACTTACAGCAGTGCTGGAGCTCAAACCCAGGGCTTTGCACTTGCTAAGCAAGCACTCTACCACTGAGCTACACCTCAGCTCTAATTTTTTTTTTAAATTGAACTCTAGGCCTTCCTATTGAACTATACCCCCAGCACCTTTTTGTTTTTTTTTTTTTTATTTTAAGCCCAGGGTCATTTCACAAGGTTGTTAAGTTGCCCGTTCTAGGCTCAAACTTGTTTGAGATCCTCCTGCTTCAGCATCCCAGAGTGCTCAGATTACAGGCGTGTGCTTGGCTCCTAATTTTTTACATTAATGTCGATAAAGGCACTTTATTTTGTGTGGTACCCTATAGTTTACACATGCTTTTCACTTCATTTCTCCTGTGTAAGCGTCACACCCCATTTCACAGGTGAGGAAACTGAGATCCCAAGAGAGAAGAAGCTGGCCTAAGAGCAGCCCCTGGGCTGGGCTGGGAGCCAGGTCTGGGGCTTTCTTGGGGCTTGGGCCCGGTGTCCTCCCCAGAGATCCCCACCCCCACCCTACCTCCCCTGTTCTTTCCCATCAGAGGCCCAGAGCCTGGGCCAGGCTGGGAATGTGCTGGGGAGGCCGCTGCCGTGTCAAGGCCGTGCGTAAGTG